TGGGGTCAAGCTTATTAGAACTTGATTTGGAAAACATTCAATTCAAAGTTCGATTTTTTTTTAATCTAAATGACTACATTTTCTTTTTCTTTTCTTGGAAGACAGAGAGAGAAAACTCCTATTCACAGATTCAATCCCAATTGCACTCAAGAGCAAGTGAGACTAAGTCACACCAAAGCCAGAGGCTGGGAACTAGGCTGAATCTTCCCTAATGGTACCAGGGAAGCAAGTACTTGACCTACACCATGTGCCTCTCAGAGTGCACATTAGCAGGAAGCTGAAATTAGAAATACTGCCAGGACTTGAACCCAGCCAGGCACTCCCATATGAATGTGGCCAGCTTAAGCAGCATCTTAGCCACAAAGCGAAATATTTGGCCCTGGTTAGTCTGAACAGGATAAACTCACTAACTTACTTCCTGGTTGTTTCTAGGTATAGATAACTGTTGTTGGCTCACCGAACCAACAATTTCCAGGAACACTCTACCATCCACAGTGCCAAAATGTCAACATAAAATTTTAAGCCCAGGAAGATTACTATTAACCCAGCAAACATTTATCTTATCTGTCCTATTGTCACACTCCAGTCCAGTGCCTGTTGCACAATGGCAAATAAAACATTCCCAGTGTTGTAGACTTTAGGTCCTAGTATCAATGTGTTCAACAAGGAAAAAGACAAAAAGAAGTCCTTTAACTAGTCTCTGCTCTCCTGATATCCTGAAATTTCCAATCCATCACAATGGAAAGAAAGAGCTCCTCGTCTTTTGCAATATTTTTTTTTTATTTTGCAATATTTACTTTTAAATAACTCAGCTAATGTTTTACCAGACCTTTCTTTTTTTTCATTTATTCTATTTCGTTTTATGACACAGTTTCATAGGCTCTGGGATTCCCCAATCCCTTCCCCATGCCCTCCCCCCACACTGTTACAGAATTACAGTTCAAATCCAGTCATGGTTCTTTCATTGCAAGCATGTACCATGTACAGAGTCCAGCATCTTATTGTCCAATAAATTCAACAGTTTTTTGGGGAGACCATCCCTGGTCTGAAAGCAGAGCTGGCAGAATATCATTCTGAGCAATTAAAAGCCACAACATAACATCAACAATAATTTACAACATTATGGAGTTAATTGACATGGTATGGAGTGACCCATATGTTAGAAAATGCAAATTCTCAATCACATCCTGTGACTACTTCATTATCATTTCAATTTTAGTTTATACACAACCGACTGCTATACACCTTAAAATGGTTATAGGGTATTATTCAGCTGTTTCATGTCTATTTTCATTTTTATATTTAGCTGTTTATAGTATTGAAGCATAATTTTTACTGAAGTTGGTGAATTTTAGGATAGTCCAATCTGGCTTATAACTCTAACCAGGCATATGTCATCAGTTGAGGTACAGAACAGCTTTAGGAGGGGTGTGCAGAGCAGTAACTAATTTTTGTGTCCTACCTTGTAAGGTATATGTGAGTCTGAGCTGTCTGTTTCCTGTCCGGTTCTAAGCTTTCCTTACTGATCTCTGTCTATCTAATCTAATTTTAATTTGGGGGGGAGGGTTGGGGGACACGAGAGCGACCCTGCTGGTCATTGCAAGAGAGGGTGTGGATCCAAGGTTGGAACTAAGTAAGGACCAGAAAAAGCTCCCCTCCCGAGGCCCGAAGGGAGTTCACCGTTCTTCTGTTCCTGAGGACCACTCAGGGCTCCTGGACATTATTCCGGTGACATTAGATAAAAATAAAGCGTAAGTGTAATATTCTCCAATGCAAGTATTTTTTATGGAAATGTGACTCTTTAAAAAACATATTTATAATAAAGCTAACACTCGAAGTTTCAAAAAGTCCCCTGTTGTAGGCAACTGCCTAGTTTGCATTGTACTTACGTAAATGTTAAATTACTGGGAGAAAAGCATCCTGGACCTGGCTAATACTAAATTTGCATTAAGTATAACAGTAAGCCAGCAGTTTCCTACTCTTTTTGTTTAAGATATATAGAGGGCAGACACCAGCAGGCCAGCAGGCAGGACCTGGGCCCCCATGCATACTCTGCGTACTTCTGGGCATGGCATTGGAGGATGGGGGTGTTTTGCTCAGGGAACATAGTCTGGAGATGTGTGGGGGGAGGACTACTGAGGGAGTACGTGACAGGTGAGGAGTGACTTCTGGGGGACTTCCACCAACCAGGCTACTGCACTTGCAGGTAAACGAGGGGGCTGAGATTGGGTGGCTTAGACGAGGGAAACATGGAGGCCCTTTTGGGGCCAAACCAATACACCTGCTATCATGGGATACCTGAGCTGGGATTATTGGTATTAACCACTGCCTACCAGCACACAGGAAAGCCATGGTGGGGACCCTGCTGGCAGGACTTGATCACAGAACCTACCAAAGAAAGTCAAGACAAGGCTAGGCCAAACCATAGCATACTGGCATACACGGGAACCAAGATATGCTGCAGGATATGCCAGGTTAGGCTAGGTTATCTCACCTACTGATTTAGAAGAAACCCAGGGATAGGGAGCAGGCTGAGCAAGGCTAGGCTGCAGTACCCACCAATGACAGCTGGGACTGGGGTGGACTGGGCCCAGCCAGGCTGCAGCATTCAATGACAATGGACAAGACGGGGGATGGGTTATGCTGGACTGGGTTTAGCAACCACTCGCCAATGCAAGATGCGTGGTTAGGAGCAGGCCTGGTCAGGGAGCTAAGGGAATGCCTCAGCTGGGCTGCAGTTTCCACTGGTAATCATGAGAGGAAGCAAACTGGGCTGGACATGGCTGTAGTATCCCTTGGCATGGATGTGTACTGGATCTGGGATATGCCAAACTGGGCTAGGCTCCAGCACTTATTGGTGCTCATAAGAGCCAGAGTGGGTATAGGTCAGGCTGGGCTAGGTCTCTGCACCTGCCAAACCATGCAAGAGTTGGGTCTGGGGTTGACCAGGCAGAGTTAGGCTGTAGCACCCATCAGTAACAGCCAGAAAGGGTGTGAGCTGGTTGGGCAAGGCCACTGAACCTGACAGGACAGGAGATAGGCCAAGTTAGGCTGGGCCAAGAATCCACCAGTGTGCATGAGATCTGCCACTGGGGGTGACCTAATAGAGGAGCTTGGGGAACTCCTTTGTCAGGACACAGTCCCTACAGGTGAGCACAAGAACCAAGACTGGGACCAGCCCAGGCCAGGCCAGGTTAAACTACCCTCCGGCATCATGTAGGTCAGGTCTGGGGACAGGAAAAGACCAGTTCATAACACCCACTGGCATATGTGAGAACCAAGATAGTGTGCAGGACAGGCCAGGTTAGGCCACAACACCAGCCAGTTCACATTAGGGCAAAAACTGAGAGCTGGGTGGCCTGGGCTAGGCTGCAGCATCCCAAGCGAGCCATGCCAGTCTGGGCCACAGCACCCACCAGCAACCTAAGACCTAGAATGGAGTATTAGCCCAGTAGGGGGTTTAAAGGGGCTCTCCTGCTGAGCCATTGCTCCCACTGATAAGCATGAGAGCTGGGATGGGGCAGCCTAGGCTAGGAAGGACTACAAAGCACATTGGTCTTCATAAGAGCTGGGACATGGAGAGAGCCAGGTTGAGCAAGGTGAAGGTATGCATTGATGCATACATTAGCCAGAGTAAGGGAAGTACTGGATGAGCTTTGCCACAACATCAGCTCGCAGTTGCTGGGACTGGAGGCAAGTCCTGTCAGGCTAGACTGCAGAAACACCTGGAAAGTGCAAGATCCAGGGATTGGAGTGAGCCTATTAGGGCAATTGTGAGCACCCCTCTTATGGGCTGCAGCTCCCACTGGTGAATATGAGAACCAGGGATGGGGGCAGGCCTGGATGGACAGGCAGTGGCACCTGCCAGCATAAGTTTGGACTGGATAGTAGGGTTGGTTTGGCTGAGCTAGGCTCAACACCCACTGATGTGTAGGAGAGCTGAATAGGATGCAGGACAGACTGGACCAGTCCATTGCACATACTGGCATAAACAGGAACCAAGGAGGAGGTTATTAGGGAGCACAACGACCAGGTTACAGTTCCTGCTGGTGTGAGTGAGGGCTGAATGTGTGGTGGACCAGGCTGGGTTGGACCACAGTATCCACTGGTTTGCATATCAGATATGGCTGGGGAGAGAACTGACCAAGTAACTCCAGTCACCAGCATGTATGTAGGCTGATGTGGGTGATGGACTGAGCCAGACCCCACCAAGGTTGACACACACTGGACTCAGGTCTGGGGTGACCTCTGAGAAGGTTTCTTTGGGGACCCCCCCCCAAAAAATGGATCACTAGACTCAGAACTCCAGCCACAGGAAAAAATCACAGGATCTGTGGTCTAATCATGAAATGCATGTGTCAGAACTGGGTTTCCATAGTTAACTGAGTCCTGTGCAATGGATGGCATGCCCAGATGCTCATGCAGGACATGGCAGCCAGTTCACTGAGGCCTGTAAAGGATGTCTAATAGCATGGAGGACAGAAAAATTGGACAGCTCTCCCAGTCAAGCTTTGATAGCAAATATCTGGGCAAATGGAATTTCTAAGCTGAACTCTATCAGCAAATGAACCTTGGAAGGATTTCTTCAACCTTGGTGCAACAAAATCAATAGCACCTCAGAACTATCAAAACCACTTGAGCAGTATCCTTGGAACCCGCTCCACATCGAAGACCCTGGGATGACATCAGGAGGCTGTGTCCCATTCCTGGGTGCTGATGCCGCTGGACTGCTGGCAGTGACCTACTCCCCTTCTCTCCTCACTTTGCCCAGATACGAGAAGAAACAAGGAGATTACAGGCAGGTAGCTGTCTCATCCACTTTTCCCCATTCCTCGACCCTCCCCACCCTAACCAGTCCATATGGGCATACATCCCTCTCAACTATGCAAACAACATCAAAAATAAAATGAATTTATTCTTTGAAAAATAAAATTTAAAAAATTTTATTAACTAAAATAAATATTAAATATTAAAAAATAATTTTTAGAAGAATGACTTACCAAGTTGGCCATATAAATTGTGAGCAGTCCTCTCCTGCAAATTTCAAAAGCAGAGATTAAGCTTTGAATTTTCTTAATAATCACTTCATCATTTCTCAGAAATCCGTTGGAAAAAGCATTCAGGAATTGACAAACATCTTAGAAAAGTAAACAGATAATGTTGAATTAAATTTTCAGCTGAACATGAATATTCTGTTTAGTGATCACTGTATTAAATTCTTAACATTGTCATAATTATCTGCTATTAGGAAAATTTGAAAAATGTGTTACTAGCATATGTTTAAGTTAAAAAGAGTCAAAATTCAATTAACTAATTCATCTTTCCAAAAAGTCCTTAAAAATTCTCAGTACAAATTTAGTCCTCCCAAAAACTCAGGTTATTAGCTTCAGTAACATTGCAATTGTTTATATCTCTAAACATCATTATGAATAATTTGGTTCTAATTTTAGCTAACCTGAGAAGTCAGGCATTACGAAAACTTTCTAAGAATAAAACAAAACTTCCATAAATACTCAATGTACCAAAAAGTGCATATTCACCAACCTATTTTAAAAGAATTCAGACAAATTTTCAAAGATTAGAATTATTTCCTACCTTTTACCAACTTATTAAGTTTATTCTACAAATGAAAAATAAATGACACACATCCTTTTCTCTAAGAAACATGTCTTCAACAATTTAAGAATTCAATGGCTGAGTCAAATAACAAACTTATTTGAACTTCAATTATGAAAATTTTCAAATACTCAAAGAAAATTAAAGCTTTATATCAACTTCACAATCATTTAAATATCATTCCAGGTCTCCAAATCAATGTTGTACAATGAAATATTTTTGGTAACATGTTCATTCATGTATGTCTTTGTTTTTTTTTTTGAAAACACCTTAGTAGGATTTTGGATGTCTCCAAGGCCACATGGAGGCAGTATCATTTAAGCAAACTACTGAAGTTAGGAATCAGAGTACTAGTTAACTTTCATTCACTACTGAGTTTTTCCTTCTATTAAAATGAAGAAACAGAACTGGTTTTCAACTTATACTTATAATAAACCTTAAAATTATAATTATCACCAACATATAACTATAATACTGGTCCTAATCTGATTGAAAGGAGAAGAGAAGGTCTAGGACACACAGCAATTCCCTTCCTTAGCAGGTGCTAGGGCACTGGGCAGTACAATAATTGAGCCCCACTAACTCCCCCAGGAAAGAACCTAAAATCCCTGGTAAGATGATCTGTAAAGTCACTTTCATACTCTCTTTTTGTGAGTTCCACACTGAGATTGTTCCTGCTAATCTAGTTGGTTCCTATCAAATTACAAATCAAAGAAGAAAAGGTAGGGTAACACTAATAACCAAGTCACACATACTCAGAAGAAAGCAAAGTAGAATCCATCTTAAATGGTACCTACTTCTACCAAATCACCATGTAAAAGGTAGCATTCATAATTTAAAAATCCAAAATAAAAATATTTTTGTAGTTTTTGCGGCAGAACCTGATAAACACATTTCTCCATGGAGTTAAACTAAGCTATAGTGCTGTTTTTAAAAACACTTGTTCCCCTAATGTAATTCATAATACTCAATAGTAATGCATCTAATTTGATCACCAAATTTCACCACCTGATAAGAAAACTTCGTTAACTACAAAGATTATGTTGTTTGCCTTCTACTTCTACAAATTTACAACAATACTTAACATCTAAGAGGTGCTAAATCAATCATTGTGAAATTACTATATATATATAACCAGCAAGTGTTTCTAGAAACCCAGGCTTATAAAATGGTGCACAATATTGGCATGTGTTAAGAGACATAAAATCACTAAAAATAAGATATAAGCCGCTAGGATGGAAGGGCAATAAGTGACACCAATTTATTCGCACACAAAATGATCAGATTACTTTGCATGAATATAAATATGTAACCAATATTATGAAGTCAGATTTTATCTTCCCAGTTGCCCTACTAAATATAAGACAGACAATATTATCCTTACTTTGCTGATGATGACACATCACAGATTCATCTGATTCATGATTGGAGGTTAACGTGAAAGTAGCAAAAAAATACAAGTTGAAACTAGAAATCAGTTCATTTGACTCTAGCTTTAGGTTCTGTCCAATGAAATACTCCCATAAAGAAAATCTTTACACCACTAAGCCACCATTAAATTCTACAAGTTAACAGGCTCGTGCGCTTTGAGGATGACTAAAGCCATCACATACTCCTTTTGTTAAAAATTGTTTAATTGATTTGAACAACAATGGCAGAAAACAACAGAAGAAACAAAGCACCTCCATCTACTGACTCACACTCCAGATGGCCACATATGCTAGGGCTGGGAAAGGCAAATGCCAAGAGCCAGGAACTCATCTTAGTCTTCCACAAGCCTTTAGGCCATTTGCAAGCAGAGTAACCAGCATTCAAATCAGCCCTCTGAAATCAGAAGCCAGAGTTTTTAAGCAGTGGCTTAGGCCACTGTGCCACAATGCCTGCCCCTCATAGATTCTTTATATTAAAAAAAAGTAAAGGCTGTATTACTATTAGATTATACCATACTATTAAGCTTCAATTTATCCTTCCCAAAAACCCCCTTCATAGTTTTTTTTTCCTTCCTGAATTCCAGCCCAGTCTCATAAATGGGAGAACAACATCTCTGAAGGGCATGATATGTTAAGAGTATAGAGCTGCACTATTTTTGCTATGATTCCTTGGTGTAATGTCTTATCCTTTTTTCCAATGGCCACTTTGTAGCTAAGCAGAATAGTGATTCAGGGCTGGCCTATGGCACCAGCATCCCATCTGGGCATCACATGCGGGTGTCAGTTCTAGTCCTGGTTGCTCCACTTTTGATTCTGCTAATGGCCTGGGAAAGCAATAGAGGATGATGCAAGGCCTTGGGCCCCTGCACCTACATGGGAGACCCAGAAGAAACTTTTTGACTCATAGCTTCAGACTGGTCCAGCTCTAGCCATCTCAGCCAATTCTGTCTTTCTCTGTATATCTCTCTCTCAGCTCTGGCCATCCAACCAATTCTCTCTCTCTTTCTCTGTCTCTCTCTCTAACACTAACTCTTTAACTCTTTAACTCTGTAACTCTCTTTCAAAGAAAATAAACCTTTTTAAAAATAGTGATTTACTTTATCACTTCTGCAACTATGTTAAGTATTACCAAAAAACATGGGGAAGATAATTAAATGTCGTTTTAGTATTCAACATTGACCAAAGCTATATTAAATCTGAAGAAAAACAAGCTGCTCCTTTCCTAGTAAGTAAATCCTCTTTGTAAACAAAGTTACATATTAAAACACTGCTACAACAGTGATGGGAAAGGTGCCAGTTAGAGCAGAGAATGGCATCCACTAAAAAGGAGAGGCTGGGACAAAGAACGGACAATAAGTAACTTTTTAAACTATACAGGAGATTCTGATACTCAGGTACACCCACCACTGAAAATACTTAGATCATACCACTGTGGAGCTTAAAGAATAAGCATTACCTCTTAGAACCAAGGACAAGCTTTGATCTTATTTTTTTTTTCTGGGAAGGATAGGGGTGTTCCTTTCAAATATTCATACAAAAACTAAGTATCGGGGGGTGCACATTCAGGGATATTACCACAAAAAAACATTAAGAATTCCTGCTGTAGGTACTTTTCAAAGAGTATCATCTTTCCTATGGAAAAAAATAATTCCATTTTCTATTAACAACCTATATTAAAAATTTTCTTCTCATCTTGATGAAATTTTAACACTTATCTTTTAACAACATAATCATTTCTAATTAGATAAAGCAATGTACACTAAAAACAGGAGTGGAACTAAACCTTAGCTTACCTCCTTAAAATTTAGAATGACACTGTAATACATTTCATAACTGAGGTCTAATGAGAACATAGAAATGTTGTAAAATCTACATGTCCCACATATATAAATTCATGTAAAATCTACACAAAAGATAAATGTTCCACCAAAGAGAAGTCAGAATAAAAGTAAGCAAAAGTTTAGAAACATGCTGTGATTTTACCAAGAAGTACCTTTTACCTCAGAATATCTTTCAAGTTATAATAAGTTTCATCTGTTAAATATTTTTTAAAAGTACAAAAATATTTCCTTAAGGTTTAGAAATGAACAAGACAGTCTCCCAACTGAAGATAAGAGCCCTGGATCATAATCTAGTGTATACAGTACATACTAGAATAAACTCTTCAGAAAACCAAAGATGCAAAGAACGCATAGAACAAATTCTAGTGTTCTGTTATCCATGTTGTAAGGTTTATTCATTTTGGTCAAATACTTGTAACAGTTTTATAACTATAAATACAATGCAACAACCCATGATTATTTCTAAAGTAAAAAGGAAATTTGGATATTTTAATGAATGTTCATCTTTGAGCACACTGCAGTTGTTAACAAGTCTAAACCAACACTAAATTTTCAAAGGAAATTCCGTAGCAATTCTACAAAGCAAAATCCATCTGAGCCTTCTGAACCACAAAACACTTCCTAGAAAAAGAAAGAGAGGACTAGTTCTTAACAGCCCTCCTAGGGATAAACTAGATGTTACCAATGCTTCCTGCCGAGTTACTATGATCACACTGCTTTGCGGCACAGATTTTTTAAGCAACCCTGGAAACAACTTCAAAGCTTTCACAGGCCCCTACAATGATGTGATTAAGATTTAAGTAAGCTTCTCTCTTACTAGGTGTCAGGAACTAGCTGGCAAAGCCTGCTTAATTCTGGTAAAGGGAGGAAAAGAGGGAGGGATATAGGGAAGCTTGGGTGGATTACAGGAGAAAAAAGGTGGAGTGGGAGGTAGAGGGCTAAACCACTACAGATGAAGATGCTATTAAATAATAAAGACAGGTTCCCACCTCTGTGTGTGTCTGACATATCGAGAGAGACAGAGACAGAGAGAGAGAGAGACAGAAAGAGAGAAGATACCCATGTTTTATGAAAAACCTGATTTAACAACAAAATGCACAGTCTCTAAGCAAAAGCTCCATCATTAAATAAAACTGTAGAAGTCTTT